AGTGGGCCCCATGTTAGCTATCGCCAAAACCAGTAATGTCCAGGTAGAAGGACCGTGGGGATGGTTGACAGTCAAAGGTGGAATCAGGCACGTTTGGGGGGATGCAAGAGCAGATCCTGCCCTCGTGGTAGCATGGTGCTTCTGTAGAGGAGAAAGCAGGGCTGTGCGGTGATGTCAGACAGCATCATAGGCATGCCGGTCCAAGGGGGCTGAGAGTGGCACCATTTGCAGTTTAATTGTGAGATGGAGATGCCTAGACAGAAATGGGCACATGCAGGTAACCCAGCGTCTGGCTCGCAGCACTTGGCACCACATCCACCAAGCAAGCAGCGGTGCTGCGCATGCTGGGCTGGGAGCCTGGCGTTCTCCAGCCTGCACAGCAGGACCCAGCAGGTACCCTGGGACCCCAGGACTCACCAGCAGCAGGAGTGGCCCTTGCTGGGGCAGGAGCTGCAGGCAGGGCAGCAGGAGGTAGTGCTGCTGGGGCAGAGGGAGGCACTGGCTTGGGAGGTGCTTCCTATCCAGCAAGGTCTGGCTGTTCCTGCCCCCACTGGACACCTGCAGTGGGAACAGACCCAGCCACTGTGACATCTCTCTTTTTCCCTCATAGTATGACAGAGAAGGAAGTGCCAGAGCCACCAGCTTCACCTGCTTCAGGTGGGAAACCCAAGAGCCAGGTAAGTGGGTGTCCACGGGGCAGCTTGGGTGGGTGGGTGAAGCCACCTTCCTAGCATTGAGCCTCAGGCCCAGGAGTGTTTGTGGGGCCAGGGATGCCTGGTGGGATCCTGATCCAGCAGCACTAGATGTGGCCATTTCCCAGCTTGGCTTTTCCTCAGGGTGCCCACATCCACATGGTGCTCAGGAATTACAGTTTCTCCTTTTGTGGGGACCTCACGGGGCTGGGAGAAGGGTCCCCCTCACAGCGGATGCCTGGGGTCGCCTCCTGCTTGGGGAAGAAGGAGTCTCTAGGTCAGAGCAAAGGGGTGGGGAACCAGGCACCGACTTCTCTGCCTGCCTGTCTACCTCACCCCACATGCCTGCCATGTGCGATGCATCCTCTCCTGCCCCAGCAGCTACAGAAGCTGAAGCAACTTTTCCAGCGAAAGCCCAAGGAGGAGACAGCACCAGAGCCACAGCCCAATGGGGAGCTGGTCAGCCCCTCAGGGGGACCCATCTACTACATCTATGAGGAGGAGGAAGAGGAGGAAGAGGAGGAGGAGCCTGAGCCCCCTCCCGAGCCCCAGAAACTTGTCAATGACAAACCCCACAAGTTCAAAGATCATTACTTCAAAAAGCCCAAGTTCTGTGATGTTTGTGCCCGCATGATTGTCCGTGAGTCCTGAGGGTGCTGGGGCTGGGGGCCATGGTCAGGGCGAGGGCTGGGGGCCAAGGCTGGTGAGGGCTCCAGCCCAGCCGTCCCCACAGCTGCAGTGTCACATTGCCTCTCCCTTCCA